TTCTGCTTTTGGACACAGAACAATACATATAAAATATATTTACTTTTATATATATATTTTTTATATATATATATATTTAATTATTTTAACCCAAGTTAATCATTTAACCTAATTAACTTTCGTTTCGTTCTAGTTCCTAGTAAACAATGCTGGGATATACAGTATCTGCTTTATCTTCTGGAGGACAGACCGTCCCCTGATGAGCCTGGACCACAGGTCACGACCTTCGTTAAATGACTCATCGCTACAGGGACAAAAAAAAAAAAAAAAGATGAAAGAACACGGTGTTTTCTTTCAGAGAATTGTATTTCCTGTCTCTCTTTGGAAATCCATCTTTTCCTTCCAACCTCATGTCATTTGTCACGACCTGCCGTGCTGCACCTTCCTCCACCTCATCACCATCAATGTCAGGTCTCCGTCCACAGCTGTCCCCTTCCTTCCCCACACAGTCTGATGACCAATCCTGGCTGCAGACACACACACACTCACACACACGGTAACCTTTCCATGCTAGATCATGTGGCTAATGACACTGTTGCTAATTCCAGGGATGCTATCTAATTTGACCCACACTGCTCAGTATTTATGACTGGGAACACAGAGTGCAGTGGTCAAGATGGACGTTTGTATCCAGTGGTCATCAACAACAACATGAAAGGTTGGGTATTTATCTCTTAATCAATATTTATTAGCGCTGTCGATCGATTCAAAGAAGCTGTAGTTTAATATCAATTAATCATGATGTTTATCACTGGGAACATTTTTTATCAGAAAACTCACACAAATTAATTAGAAAATTGTTCATTTCAACAGATCTAGTATTTGTCTAAGTATAAAGTAACTAGTGTGCGTTTCTGAGTGTGTGATCTAGTATTTGTCTAAGTATAAAGTAAGTGTGTGTTTGTGTCACTCACATAACAGCCACACAGAAACACCATGACAGGTATGTGTGAGCGTGTACATGGATACACGTAGCTACCTGTCAGTACACGGTATTCACTGTACCAGTACGTCTGTCTCACACACACAAAGGTCCTTTTAGAAACGCTGCGACAGTCGACAGTCTGGACTCCAGACAATACTTTTCTCACACATGACACAGTCTGACCTCGCCTTCAGCTCTGTGGAAAATACACCAAACTAATGATCGTTTTATATCTCTGCTAACGAGAACCCACTGCTGACGATTGGGCAATTACGTTTTTTTTTTACTTGAACTCGAACAAAATGGAATTATTTCTGTATTTCACGGACATTAAGCCACAGTCTTTTTTCTTCTTCTTCTAATTCTACAAACAGTGACTGTGAAAAACCTGAATGCAGAGATAAGGTGTGTGTGTGTGTGTGTGTGTGTGTGTGTGTAGAGCAGCTTTGTACCAATCTGACTGTAGAAAAGTCAAGCCATATATTCTCTCATAAGGGAGCACTTTTGAAAAGTGGGTTTCTTGGTTTATTACTTCCTAGAACTCTGCTGCTTGGCCGATTACATAAAAAAAATATATAAATATATAAAATATATATTTAAATATATATATAAATATATAAAATATATATATAATATATTAAAAATATATGTTACTGATATCACAAACTCTGATCTCTCTGTCATTCACTCACTGGCGTTACCTTTTCCAATGGTAACAAGCGGAGAAATCGTTAGGTTTGGATGTTCGTGCCGAGTGTTCTTCGTCCGACCGCTGTACGTCATACGCAGCTAATAAAAGACAATGGGTAACAGTTTGGAATCAAGGTGCAGCCCGTCGTATCTCTTGGCCGCGGTGTGGCAAGAATTTATGGCTTTTAATCTGCCGCGGTGACCACCTGAGGGCAGCATTAGTGAACGGAACAAAGAACAAATCTCAGGTATACGGTTTGATTAAAGACTCCTGGAGGTTCAGCGCTCCCATGGAAGTAGGCAGCGGCCCAACTCTATCAGTCCACGTGTCTATTTCGGAGCTTCTCTGTAACAACGAGCTACTTCCTCCTCTTCCTCTCCATGCTCCTGAGGCCCAATTAATACAGAGTCCTGACAACAGGAACATATTTTTGACTATAAGATAAATTAACATCGTAAAATGTGTAGTTAAAGAGTCGGACGAACACGTGGGGTCAACAGGATGTTTTTACTTGGATCATCTCCTCTGTGGCCGACTTGTTTGTGTTTTCATTAGGGCTGTCGAATGAGAGATAGCAGATATCAGATATGCCGATTTCCCAATTACGATATCAACCGATCATACCGATATAGCGGGGCAGTGGTGGCCTAGTGGTTAAGGGAGTTAAGTGCCGTCTGCTCACTAAGGTGATGAGTTAAAGCAGTGTCTCTTACTATTTTCTATCACAGTGCCCCAGTGGATGGAAGTCTTTTCACACTTTATGTACCGCGATTAACGCGTTACTGCTTAATGTCCTAGCTTCATCCATCAAAGATTTAAAAATGTAAACAAACAAAAGTTGAACATTAGCTGCAATTTTAGTTTGAATTCCGATTTCATTCCAATCTGATTCTGGAAGCAGAGACACACACACTCTGTCAACGTGGATGTCTAAATGTCCCCTCTGTCTGAACATATTTCCCTCTGAAGAAAAAAAAGTCTGAGATCGCCATCACCTCTGTTCCTGTCAAGTTCCCGGCCTGAGAGAGTGGAGTGTTGGAGCAGAGCGACAGAGAATATGTGCCTCGGTGGATTGGTTTGCACTTTCCCGTCCAATCTGCCACCTTGCCTCACTGCCCTTTTCTTTTCTTCCCCCTTGTGCCGGCCTGGCGGCTTTAATCAGGGAGACCAGCTGGGGGCAGGAAGGACGGAGCTTGTCTTTAAACCGGCTGATTTACCGGCTCCACAGAACTCTTTTACATTTCTCCAGCTAATAGAGCCGGGCCGGCAGCTCTGCAGCAGGACACAGAGGCAGGTAGTCGACGGACAGATGGGGGAGTACACAGAGATAAGCAGCACAAGGCGTAAGAGAGACCAGTGCTGGAGAAAGACAAAAAAAAAAAAAAAAAAACCCAGACCAGACCAGTTGATTACCACTGAAATCTACAATACCAAAATAGATGAGGGGGGAGGGGAGGGAGGCGGGGGCTCGTAAGAAAAGAACTAAAAAATAAGAAGTCGTAATAAAAAAAGACAGAGTCACTGGGAGAATAAAAAATTCTCAATCCTAGTTTTCGGGTTCCCGACTGATAAGAACGTTTATTCAACAGCTGCAGAATTGTCTAACAGCTGAGTTTACGAGACGTTCTGTGGCAGCTGGTGGCTCCATAGACACTAGGGGGCGTCAGAGATGAACTGTAGAGCCCAGTTTTAGTAACCTGATGCTGACAGTTTTACTACAATTAAATAGAAAACTTAATATTATATTATAGCATCGCAATATATCTCAATATATCAGATTGTTGCCCTTGTATCGTGACACGTATCATCCATAACAATATATATACTGTATATAAATAGATACATATATTTACATATATTTATTTATATATATACTGCATATATGTATATACACCCATATATACATAGATGTATATGTATGTATATATGTATCTATATACATATATATATTATATGTATGTATGTATATATATAAAGCTATAGAGATTGAATATAAAAATAAGTGATATACCCAGAGCTGAGATATAAACACGGCTGAGAGTACACAAGAGTACACACTTGTACCCTGTGTTTGCTCAGTAGATTACTCTTTAAAGCATGCATGTGTGAAATATGCACATAGAGTTGAGGCGCACATAGTTCGTAGCGCTAAATTTAACCACACGTGCACTCAGACACTCAAACACACACACATACACATTTATCTTATTACCCTCGCCTCCCAGCGGTTGCTAGGCAACAGCACACAGCCCCAGATTGTTTACAGAGCAGGAATACAGTTCATCTGAGAGGAGAGGTGACACAGAGACGGATGACATAATCTCCGGCGATGGAAAGATAGAGAAGAAGAAGAAAAGGAGAGAGCCGGCAGTAATGTAATGAGGCGTACGCCCCGCCACGGAGGATGAAAGAAAAGTTCCAGTGATTCAGCGCGGTGCTGCCGACACCCGACAGATATGTCTGGACCTCCTCGGTGTCGAGAGGAGGAGTGGGTGACGTGCAGACACGGTGTCAAGTGTCATCGTTCTGATTAGGGCCAAGGAGGAGAGAGATCACTCCAAGAATCAAGAGTCTCCTGTGGAAACCACAACAGATCTCACTGCAGCAAAGGAAGTCACCAACCACCAGGGGCCAGCGGTGAGGGCATGTGGTACCAGGACATGGTGAAAGTGAAAATGTTTTGAATAAATGACCAGATTTTCCTCTCTCTCTCGCTCAAACACCTCTAATTATTTGATAACACATTTCAAAATTAAAGAGTTTGGAAAAAGCTGCTTAAAAAAGAGAGTAAAAACTAGACAAACATTTGGATTTCAAAATAAAAGACTTCTTACAGGGAAACAGAAATATTACCAAGCAAATACCTTAAAGCAGTGGTTCTCAAACTGTGGTAGGTGTACCACCACTGGTACGTGAGCGCTCTCTAGTGGTACGTGGGGAAAATTAATATTTTCACATTTAAATTTTCAATTGAATAAATCTGAAACATACCATGCACAATTGATACAACATTTAGAAAAAAAAGTGTAGCTACTTGTGGGATTATGAAATAAGATGTCTAGTTTTTTTTATTTACTTGTTTTTTTGCTGCAATGAAAGTCCGTTGCTCACGTAAACACAGGCAGCAAAGAATCATGGGATCAATTGCAAGTTGAACGTGGATCTAAAGTTGGTCATCATGGCGGTAGCTCAGTGTTTTCTCAGGTGGTACAGGAGTATAAAAAGTTTGAGAACCACTATCTTAAAGTACAACATGTGTGTATGTTACGCAGTTTTTTTATTTTTTCAAACACAAAACTGTAACTCTAAATCTCCTCCTGTGAGGAGTTGCGACGGAAAACAATCAAAACATTTAACAAGTCAATGAGGCAAAACCAGACTCACATGACGATGTTGATCCCTGAAAGCTGCTGGAACATCTGTAGGCTGCAGCCCACCAGGAGGGCCCGTCGGGTCGGAGGATAGGTCAGCATCCGCCAGATGACTGGGCCGTCTGGTGGGACGAACAGAGGCAGAGCCGGAGAAATTAGTGTCAATAAACAGTTTATTTAATCGCTGACACTTTGATCTCTTTGTGATTTTTTTAATAGATCTTATCAAGACAAAAAAAAAATAAGGCCAGGACGCACAGATCTTGCAGATGAACAGGTCTGAGTCCACAGGTGGCGCTAGGACAAACATGTACATATAATTCATATTAACATAAACAAACTCTCTCTTACACACAGGCTGGTGATCTGGGAGCAGCTGTGAGTGGGAGGATTCTTGGATTTTCCACTTCTGCCTAATGGGCAGAGCAGACTGTGTAAACGGGTGCTTCCTCTGACAGCGGAACACATTTAAGACTTCCTTCTGAACAAGGCTTAGAGTTTTAGACCGAGCTCACGGCGCTGGGCGAGATCCTCAACAGGGATTTTTTTTTTTGCTGAACTACTATTTCTTAAATTTAACCCAAGTGCCCAGAGGAAGACGTGTCACACGCAGCTTTCCCCTTTCCCACGGTAGTACCTTCGCAAACCACTAGGAGGCAACATACTCTAACGCGGTGGTCCCCCATAATTTCCCTGCGGTTGTGTTTAACCATAATGACATAATAATTACTATCAAAATATTTTTATCAGTAATATTTTTTCAGTCCGGTGTCCCCATTTGGATTCCAGATGACCCCTCATGGGGAAAATATTTTTATCAGTAATATTTTTTTAGTCCGGTGTCCCCATTTGACTTCCAGGTGACCCCTCATGGGAATGTGACCCCACGATTGAGAAACATTGAATAAACAGCTCAAAATGAACTGGAAATTAAAATAATAGGAAAAATAAAACGCTAAATGATCATATTTCCGAGCAATTTATGCCAAGTAAACAAAGAATATTTTAAAATAAAAAAACAGGGAAATCAAATTAAAGGAAATTAAAATAATAGGAAAAATAAAAATGATCACATTTCCGAGCAATTTATGCCACGTACAAAAAAGAACATTTTAAACTAAAAAAACAGGGAAATCAACTTAACTAAATTTAAAATCAAATTTAAACAAACTCTACATTTTTCTCATGACTGTGCGTCACCTGTGTGACAGTTCTTTGACGGCATGTGATTCACTTCAGTAAGATTTTTAATATAGAGCTCAAACTCAGACCTCAGACCATGGAAGAAAGTGATTAATTTATGGGATGAGTCACTTCTACGGCTGTGACCCAGCAGAGTGGTCCTGGTTTATCCTCCGAGACCAGAACAGAGGACTCTTAATGTGATGAGTCAACGGGGGGCGGGGGGAGACTAACGTAAACCTTCAACGGCTTGACGGTCCCCAAAGGTCGAGCTGAACTTACTCAGCCAATCACACGATCGTCTCTGAACCCTTTTTTTTTCCTGATGCTCGTCACTGATGTGGACATACAGTACCTGGAAAGACATGCGCTGACGCTCAGCTTCGTTTCCTCAGACATACAGCGACCAAGTGTAATTCAATCAGACGGGAGAGTGGAACGACCACAGGCCCAGTGATTAGGCCTCACAGCCATGCAGTAATTGCAATATTCACTCAGTGCAGCTGCCAAACAACAACCTCCGTCACGAGAACTTCTCCATCCCTTTAATCCTGCACTGATGTATAAAAACCACTGTGGTTGAAAACGTTACAATCACGTTGAAGCACTGCTGCCAAAAAAACTCGCTGATCCCCAGGCAATGACCATCATCACTCACAATCAGTACTTCCAGATACTTCTAACAAGTATTTTTCTTAAACTGTGATATTTGTTGTGAGTCATTGCAATTTTGATAAAAAAATATATATATTATTTTTTCTTTTTCCGTTTCACCTTTTCAACAAAGTGACCTCCAATTAGTGCTCGTCTTTCGCCACTTGCTCCCAGGAAAATCCCCCATCTTTTTTTTCCTGTGGCCAATTACGCCGCCTGCTCGGCACGGTTGGAGCCGTCTTTAAAATCGCACTTCAAACACGTGCCGCGGTCGGCTTAATGAGAAACCAACAAACGAGGAGAGAGGCCGGAGAACAGGAATCACTCCATCAGCAGAGAGACCATGATTACTGACTTCAACAAATCCTCTGTAAATCAGTAAAAACAAGAGTGAATAAGACTGAGAACCAAGGACCGTCGCTGGGCGCACAGTGGACGGGAATAGCAATCCTTCAATCCATCCAATCACCGTTTCTCTGAGCCGTTAGTGAGCAGTGAGTGGCTGGAAGCAGGACTGGTCTGAACGAGTGGAGCCGCAATCAAAGTCTGAAGCCGAGCTGAGTGAAGCTGCAGTTCTCCTCCGTGACCTCTAGACCACCTCTAATTAGGTCCTCCATGTACTTGCCCTCATTTTTTTATTTTTTCCCCTCCTCATCACAGAGAGACTTGACATGTGACACATTCCAGACCAGAGTAAAGGTCAGTGAGATCTTGAACGGAGAAATTATTTTAACCACTGTCCGGCCCACGTGATGCTTGATCTGAGTTCAAAGAACTTTTTCTTTTTGTTGTTGATAAGAGTCAGATCTTGGGTGAATCTTAGCAGGACATGATTTGTTGGATGGAGTCCTGCATGTTTGTAACCACCTGAAGTGTCTTCTCTGAGCATTAGGGACCAAACATTTTTTCTAATAAAATGAAACACTCAAGCATTCGATCTCTGAACAGTTTAAGAAAAAACACCAAGTTCTGAACTCAACCTACAAAACAGGAAATACACCAAATACCATCCTTAATTTCCTGCAACGGTTATTAAAGTTTTTTTTGGCTCGTGACCTCATATTGACACCATAAATTTCTGGCAACCCCAGAGACATCAGTCATCGGGTGAGGGTGGGGTACACCCCTGATAGTTCTTCAACCCAAACATTATTACTCTACAAACAAACATATATACGGACACTTCAAACTTGTACTTTAAAATTAACTACATTAAAAAAAACACAATCAACAGCTAATATCGGTTCTCAGAACTTGGATGAAGAATTTAGTTCAGAACATCAGAGGCACCTGCAGCAGTGAGAGAGGAGGCTGCACACAGGTGCATGCATTTTTAAAACCCATCAGATATTCCTGCCGCATTATTTCAGAAAGCGCTCCCGGGAGAGGCAGCGACACCGGCAACTCCAGAGGAGGAAGAGGAAGAGGAAGAAGAGGAAGAAGAAGAAAAGAAGAAAAAGAAGAGGAAGAAGTGAAAGAATAAGAGGAAGAAGAAGAAGGAGAGGAAGAAGAAGAAGAAGAAGGAGAAGAAGAGGAAGAAGAAGAAGAAGAAGAAGAAGAAGGAGAAGAAGAGGAAGAAGAAGAAGAAGAAGAGGAAGAAGAAGAAGAAGAAGAAGAAGAAGGAGAAGAAGAGGAAGAAGAAGAAGAAGAAGAGGAAGGAGAAGAAGAGGAAGAAGAAGAAGAAGAGGAAGAAGAAGAAGAAGAGGAAGAAGAGGAGCGCGGTCAAAAAGGTAAAGAAGTCTAACCACAGTGATCTTACATTCCAACAGAAAAAAGGAAAACAAAAACAGCACCAACCTCAAATAGTATGTGTCCCACTTTATTTTGACAGGATACTTTATGGGGTGTCTGTCTGTGGCCCACTCTGTTCAGTCTGGATTTACAGGGTTCTTTATCCTCCTGTTTAGTGAAGGACGTTTCTTTATGGGCTCATTTCAACACCATTCTGCAAAGGAGTTTTATCGACAGATTCATGTTGCGTTTCAATATTTATTGCTGTTGTAGGGCGGGGGGGGGGGTCTCAGCGTCTCTTGTTACTAGAGGGCGTCTACCATTGTGTCCTTGGGTGAATCATCTCATCCCAAAATACCAAGTCTGTGTCTGAGCAAGCCTATTGGTTGGGGTGAATAATCAAAGAAGAAGAGAACCAGGATGAAGAACGGAGGAGTCAGAACTGTCATGATCTGACGTTTGTTGTCAAAATACTTCTGGCGACGTTAAAGTTTTCCTGTATATTTCTTTTATTTTAATATGATAAAACTTTATAGGATGAAGTGACTGACACCGGTGATTAAAAACTGTTCTGACACACTGTGTAACTGCAGCATGAAACGCCGTGTTCTGTCAAACACCACGTCTGTCTGTCCATCTCTCTGCGTGCAGGGATGGAGACAGGTCAGAGGATGACTCATGATGAATTTGCCACTGCATGAAAAAAATAAAAAAATCCCTCTACGGTATTAATAATCTGCTTTAAGGCTGCAAGAAAACTGTAGAGCTGTGAATTAGTCTGTTTTATTCTCTGAGTTGTTACCGTTGCTTTTCTTCGCCGCACAATTCCTGCAACACACGCATCCAGTTCAAGGTCGAGATCATGGCACAGAGTCTGCTTTTAATTGCACAGCTTCATAACGACGTGAGGTTCAGGCCAGAGGTCACCGCGGGGTTTCGCCGTTAAAAGTACGAGATAAAGTGAAACTCCCTGACAATTAGAGCTTCTTATCACAGCAGTACTTCATGATTACAGTACTGGCTCAGCGCCAAACTTGTTGCTGCAAGCTGGAGGTGGCAGAGTTAAAGATGCTAAGATTCTCTTTAGGAGTGACAAGAATGGACAGGATCAGGAATGAGGTCATTAGAGGGATAACACAGACAGGAAGGTTTGGAGAAAAAGCTAGAGAAGCCAGATTGAGATGGTTTGGACATGTGCAGAGGAGGGACAGTGGATACATTGGTAGAAGAATGTTAGAGATGGAGCTACCAGGTAGGAGAAAGAGAGGAAGACCAAAGAGGAGATATATGGATGCAGTGAGGGAGGACATGCAGATAGTTGGAGTCAGAGTAGGAGATAAAAAGATTTTAACCAAAATTTTTCAAAAACTGAGCAATTTTGAATGCCCAACTCCTGAAAAAAGTTGAATAAAAATAATAAAAAAAATTAAATTAATAAAAAAAATTTCAAAAAAATAAAAAAGAATTACAAAAAAAATTTCAAGAAAATGTTTCAAAAAAAATTTTTTCCAAAAAATTTTCTGAAAAAAATAGTTGGAGTCAGAGTAGGAGATGC